ATTTCCAGAGTAGCTAGGGCAAATCTGTGTTCATACATTAGGTTATTAAAAATGGATTTTAGTAATATTAAGCCACAACTACAAACTACCAAGGTGTGGTTCTCTGATGTAAAGGTAGGCAACCTTTGGTTTATGGCTGTTACCTAATCCTGAAGCAACAAGCACCATATTGTTTGTTTGGGTTTTTTCCCAACATTTTTTAGATGGTAATAAGAATGGGAGGTTTTCTTCCTCTAGGAAGAAAACTATATTCTTTCTGACCCTTAAAATCCCCACAGCCACCTCAAATAGTTCTAAATGAGTCAGCATCATTTAGCAATTGATTTGCTAAGTTTCAATAACATTTTTTCCGGACACATAAAGAGGAAGGGAAGGAGGGAAGGGGAAATGGGAGTACTTTGCTTTCCAAAGATTTCTTATTCGCCTTTCCAAGATTAAATCTCCATCGACGCCAGGAAAAGGCTGGGAAAGGCCATTGACACCAATTGCAGCCGTCTATCAGCCATCTCACATAAAGTTGTCCATCAACATGGCTTAGTCCAATACATAAACCAGCCTTATTCAAATTAGTTACAAAGCTTCATGCTCCACATGGCACATTTGCCAGCATAAACACAGCTGGTATGAAGATACAGCATGGAACCCAATTTTCCCAAGCCACTGGATTACTTAATAAGATATTCTAATTAATTACGGAAGGAAGTCTTAGGGACAGAAGGTTTAAATTCTTAACACTTCTAACTTTTGCCAATTCAAAATGCTACTCTGAATACATAGAGCTGGCAGGTAAATTACATCCTCACTGTTCAAGTTTAGCTCCATTAGGTGAACATAGCAGTAGAAACCAGCACAAATGTCAGTCCCTGTAACTAAAGGCTTACTTTAAGCCAGTCTCTGCAGCAGATGAGAATAATCTAAAAGTGCATCTAGGACATTTTAGGAAAATAAAATCTATTAGGAGTAAATAGATTTTCTATACATTTTATTTATTTACATATTTGTTAGATTTATGCTTTCCTTTTCTCAGGGGCTCAAGGTGATGTACATATAGCATTGCATCCTCTTGGACTTCCGGTTTGTCGGCTTCACCAGCGGCAGGGATTCGTGATCCTGCGTGATCCCTGCGGTGCTAGCCGTCTTGGTGCCTCCGATCCTGACGGATCTGGAGGCTAAGGCTGCCCCGCAGAGGCAGCCGAAGATAGGGGGGATCCGGAGAGGGGGTGTTGCAGACCCCCTCCCCAGCCAGCTAAACCCCCTTTTCTCAAGGCGGTTGAGCGGCGGTCTGTACTGGCCGCCACAAAGAAGCCAGCAGCTGGGTAAGACTGAGCAGGAGGAAGAGGGGAGAAAGTTTCTAAGAGAAAGTTTTTTGGCTGACCCAGGACTTTAAGAGACGCCTAATCCTGAAAACTATGACTTCTTGAACGATACTTTGTTTCCAGAGGAGAATTTCAAGCGGCAAAACTGAGGTGCTGAAAGGGAAAGTTTACTCTCCTTCCCTATGGAATCAACAAATGGCCATTGAGAAACCTGTCTTTTTTTTTTTATAAAAGGTAAAAACTTGGCTTCTTGTTATAAGTGGGAAGGGAGAGGACAAAAAAATATTAAGATCTTGTTGGAGGAGATGCCTTGAAGATTTTGAGACTGGAAATTAATTGCAACAAGGCTCTAAAATACAGATTGGGCTTTTTTTCTTTTCCTTTTTATTGATACCACCCCAGGAAGAGAAAGTGAGAACTTTGTGCTTTGTTTGGACTGATGTCTCTGGGACTTTGGGGAATTGTTCTAACTTTTGAAACATTTTGGTTGCTTTAAGAAAAAGAACAAAGAAAAGATTTACAATGGCTTTACCTGTTGATGAACTTAAGGAATATGGAAAAATAAAGAAAGAAAGCAAGGACGCTGTGAAGGAAGCCTTTCTTTTTTTAGAAATGGTGCTTGCTATTTATCAGAAAACACAACAACAGATGGAGGAAATAGAAGAAGAACAACAAGAAGAAGACGCCATCTTCAATGAATCTAAAAATTTAATTAAGAGAGAAAGGAGAAAGAGAGGAAGGAAAATGAAGGACTTAAGACTTAAAAAAACACTCAAGAAAGAGAAAAATAAGATGCAAAATCAACACAATGTTACTAAGCAAAAGAAAAAAGGAATACAACAGAGAGGGGAAGCTAAAAAGGCGGAGGTTATTAGAGGGGGAGGTAAAAAGGCCAGGTGGGATAAGAAAGGAAGGGAAAAGGGGGGAAAAAGGAATTTTTTTCAGGGATAAAGGGTGATGTATAATTTCTTTAAAAAAGAAGATTCTGCAAGGTACATAAGATGGTATTGTAGTATTTGTATTAGAAATAGAAAATTAGAATGTTATAAGAATTAATAAAAGATTAAAATATTGAAATGTTTAGTAATGATAGACTTTAAAATTTAACAAAATATTAAAAGGAATGTTTAAAATATTAAGTTTAATTAAAGAGTTTAATTGACTATTGTGTTGATTTTACTATAAACTTATTATTCTAGCATTTGTTTTTTGAAATAGATAATTGGAATGTTATAAGATTTAACATTTAGATTTATTATCTAATTATATTAATTATTTTGGGCTTATTATTTTTTTCTCTTTTTAAAAGTTAGCAGGTAGAATGTACTAAGCAGAATCAGATTGGGTACTAGGCGTTATTTTAAATATTAATTTAGGGGGAGGATAGAAAGGCATCATACTCTGATCAGTGATTTCAGGAGAAATCCTTTTTTTTTTTATTGTAGGGAATGAGATAAAGGGATAATTTGGAAAGAATGGACAAAAAATACAAATACAATGAATTAAATACAAATTCATAAATTAAAATGAATTAAATAAAATAGAATTAAGAAGAATGAAAAGCGGGGAGAAGTTATATAGAAGATATAGAATGGTAAATAAGATAGGTAATGGTATATAAGATGAGCACGAATTTAATTGAGTCCATACAAAGAGAGGTAGTCTGGGGCCAAACTACTTTCTTAAAAGAAGTTTTATATTTTTGTGTTTTGTGTGTTCATGTTTGTTTGAGAATTAATAAAACCTCGGAAGAATGTTCGATGAGAATAATGGTAATCAAGTCAGAGAGAAATGTAGATGATGATTATAAATTGGATAAATATAGAAAATAACAATAATAATAATGAAATTGAATACAAAAAGAGAAATAATGAGAAATTTGCTAAGATATATTTATATGTCCATATGGAAATGGTGTAAAACAGAATTATGTTGTATAAAATAATATTTTACTTGACTTGTAAAATTAATAATGGAAAGAGGTTTTATGTATTCAATGGTTAATGATGGTTTGTTTGTCTTTAAAATTAATAAAATTTGTTCAAAAAAAAAAAAGCATTGCATTCTCTTATTTCTCCCTGTAACCATCCTGTTGGTAAGGCTGCATCATAACAAAATGACTGGCCCCAAATCATCCGGTCAATTTCCATGGTAGAGAGTGGACTTGAACCAGGACTCATCAACCCCAGTTCAACAGCTTCATCAGAACACAACCCTGACATTTGTATGAAATTAATTAAGAGAGGAATTTGGTTTGCTTTCATCCCTTCAAAATCTCTGAAGTTTTCTAAGAAAAATTTACAGGGGTTAAAAAAAGATGCTTTTAAAAACAAAACAAAATGAATTTAAGTTAAATCTAGTGCAGCTCTTTAAATGATTTACTTCCCTCCTGAAAATGTCAGAGGGCATTTTCTTGCTTTTGATTCATTCAGAGCTTTCTCAGAACTAAGCTGTGTGTTATTAACAGAAAGCATTGATGTGAAACAGTGTAGCAGGGCTGAGCTGCTAATCAACAAAAATATGCTGATAAAAGCTACAATTAATGCACAGCTCTCAAACGAACACAGATGCAGAGATTCAATTGTGATATAGGAAATCATCAAGCTGAGTGAAGAGTATATTGCTCTGATAATGGAGCTAATCATCTTTGGGTGCTCTTGAAGACGTCCCTCATCAGCAAGACTGAATTGAAACAGACCTTTGCTGTGGACTGACAGCAGTGGCAGTTTCTATCAATATAGTAGTAATCTATTGCCAGTGTTTCTCCCAACAAACCTTTTCTATTTTTCGGGTTCATTCCCATCCATTCATCATTCCCTAAGTACATTTCCATTCCATCTGCGAAGCGGAGAAACAACCTTCCCAAGGAGCCCTCCCCGCTTTTGTCTTTTCACTAACGCTGACAGAATAACAGCTCCCTAATTTAGAACAGCTCTCAGGACTGTCAATGTTTTTTTAAGCCCCCTTAAAAATCTTAAGAGAGGAAAAGTCTTTTGTATCACTAAATTTCTGGATGTGACAGCTTCTGCCATGTTCGGTGCAAATTCGTGGAGCCATGGAAGTTGCTGAGTTTAATATTTAAAATATTGAGATATTAAGGTGAAATACTAAACCTGTTATCTTTTCCCCTTCTATACCGACAATAAAGTGAACCTCAGTCTGGGGACAATTCTTACCCTTACCTATCCAAGCCATCTTTGCAGGAATCTCTTTACCTCCCATTAATTCTTTCTACAACCAGGTTTAATAAATTCATCCTTGGCTTAAGCCCCATTTCCTTTTCTTTGTGGATTTTTAAGTCAAGGTCCACGTTTGGTAGTCAGTGCTTATAGGTGACTGCAGTACATCTGTATGACAGATATGAATTTTTCATCTAAAAGCAGATGACAATACCGAGCCAACTTTGGCTGATCTAGAAATTGAAGCATGGCTGGTTCTAGTTTGTTCCAGATGGCTGAGGAACATCTGGGAAATCTAAACTGGGGGTGTTGGTGTTATAATTGATTTCTTCTAACCTGATCTTTTCCAAACTGGTCCCTCTAGGTATGTTTGGATTACAACTCTTAAATCTCCAGCTATTCTAGGAACTAAGAACTGTGATGGTAATTTGGTGGACCAGTTCTAACATCACTTTTAATGAACAAATCATGCCAGATGTTAACACTAATTCTGTGAAACTTGTACCTGTCATAGTCTCCATTGCACAAGGCTCGCACAGGGATAGCGAATGATTGCCATACTGGATTCAGAGTGTTCTTCACCACTTCAGTTTTATGACAAATGGTAAATCTAGAAAGATACACAATGTCCATTTAGTTATAAGTTAATTCTAAGAAACTGAAGAATGCCTTGGGTTGGACAACAATAGAGAAGAAAGGAAAAATCTCATTATTTTTTGAAATATGCTTCTCCAAATCACCATGGACGATGAAAATTGGCATTGGGTTGGATCAAGATAAAAATGGATCACTTTAATAGCTGTAAACACTGGCATTCTCCAAGCGCTTGCAGCGGAAATAAGCACCAACTTCATGCAATATTAGCTAACATTTTTCACAGAGGATATAAGTATTTCCTATTAAAATTATACTTTCATTAGCACAAGTAGTGCAATATCCATTCCCACAGAGAGAAAACTTGCTGAAAGCAGAACAAACTATATTGGAAATCAGTTTAAAGCAATACCCAGCAATATATGGCAATATCTCTAAAGAGAAGCTCGTGTTCTCTCAAACAAGGCAGGAGATTTTTTTTTTCCAGGCAGGGCCTGTGTTTTTAAGAAATAATCTGCTGGGAGCCATGTTCCAGTAATGACCAGAGCCAAAACTGGGCAGATCACTCTTTTCTTCTCTTTTTCTAATTAGCTCAACTTTCCATGATGTCCATCCTTGCTCCTACCCAACCTACTATTGGAAGAAGGACAGATCATTCTTGCTACAGATTGAAAGTGATCTTTTGCAAAGATCCTCTGATGTTTAAGGCTACATGACTCATAGACATGAATTACACAAATCTAGCATTCTGATCGTCCTTGCTGTAATTTTTGGGGGGCATTTCAATGAGAGTTTGCCTAGCACAGTGGTAGCCTATCTTAGCTCTAGACTCCCCAACTGTCAGATTTTGATTTTGGGAATATGGATCTCCACCCTGTTCAGATAAAAAATGTTACTGTCTAAGCCTGGGAATTTGGATGCAAACCAATATTTTATTTTGGCATCAGCCTTGCACTTTGAAAATTGAGGAAAATGTTCTCAATTTCAAGGAGATCTGACTTTCATTTACCTATTTAATTATTCTGAATGGTCAGCTAGGGAATTGTCTTGATATTAGTTAACTTTCGCCCAGACCCTTTCTATTAAACACAACATCTCATTTCACTTCTTGCTGGTTTAGTGAACAACTTCAGGAATATTCATAAATCATCTTTTTAAAATGATCCTGAAAATTTAGCATACTTAAGTCTTTCTATTTTCTCCTGTATCAGCTAAAAAAATTAATCAACACAGTTTTTTTACTTGAACTGGTCCAAAAAAAATATTTCCAACTCACAAGAAATGTTTGGTCAATTGACATGGTGGCCATCATAGTATGACCACACATAAGAACACATAAAGCTTAAATCACACAATCATAGCCATCATCTTGATATTTTTTTTAACCACATTCTATAGAATTGTTAAGACTGCAAAACTGGAAGAATGCTAAAAAAAAACCAAAACTCTTATCCACACTGAGTTTAATAATCCAAGCCTCACCTAGTAAAGTTTTGTTTTTGATGTACTCTCAGACTGATGGTCTTTCCAATGGCTGTATTTTTGGATGGAATGTGAGATAAAGAACATTTAAGAAGAAGGGACCCATTGTTTTGGTGTCAAGGCAGATTATATATGGCTATAATAGTCTTGTCCATGATACGCATTAGCCTGGACAAATTCTTTATATGAAGCTTTTAAAAGTTTGCTTACTAAGGAAAGCCTAAGCAGAGAGCAGCAACCAGCTACACTGACTGACTTAAACAAAACCTGTTGGATCTGACTGGTATTTGAAAGAATGATCATCAGAAAATGCAGACTTATAAGCTAGACTGGGAAATCACAAACAAAATTCCAGAATAACCAGCAAAGTATTAGTGGAAAATTTCACTGTGTGCTAGTGAAGAGCCAGTTAAAATGGGGCAAATCTGTTCCCAGAAAAAAAACCATTTGTACTCACGTTCCATCTTCGTTACTTCTGAAGAATACCATGAAAGGGTCTGATTTTCCAAAGAAGTCTTTCTTGTCCAGCTTGTTGGCACAGAACTGCATTGTGGCCACATCCTTGGAATTGGAAGCAGAAAATATATTGTCTAACAGCATTGCTGCTGAGCTAACAGAGCAATTTTAAGAAGTTGCACGGGAAAGTGGTACAGTAAAGCACTAAACATAAAACAACAGAGTTTGCAATTAACCCAATAGGAAATTGAAAAAGAAAGAATGAGGCTCATCACTGAAGAAATTCTAATCCAGTGTATAACTGAAAGGACTATAATAGCATGAGCAAGGCTTGAAAAATCTGGGAAAGCTATCAGCTTGGCATCAAACAAGGATACTGCACCTACAGCTAAGATTTTTAATCATAGACTTTGGTACTTGGGTATTTTCTTTCCCCATCACCAGTCTCTTGAACATGCACTGAAGCATGCTAAACTTTACAGAAGAGTTACAGCTTGCCAATGATTTTCATAGTAGATAAATCATCCACTACACTTTTCACTGGCATTTAAATCAATCCAGGCCATTAGGATTATAATGGAACTAGCTACTTTTGTGAGTTAAAAAAATATAAACAACTTCATATGTTTATCAAAGCGTCACTTCTGCTCTGTGAACACACACACACACATCTTGTTAGGATTGGCATTCTATAAATACAATAAACATATTTCACTTGCTAAAATATCCCCCGATTCATCTATAAGTTGCATTTTGATTTGCAAGAATGTGTGGATTTTATGTAAAGTTTCCCCTACTCTGCATTTTATGCGTATTTTTTTTCCTCATGTAGACAAATCACTTCTGGAGCACTCCTAGATCCTCTGTACATTGCTGTTAAATCAGGTCTCCCTAATCTCTTACCTATTTGCCACAGTTCAAATCATCCTGTGGATTAGGTCCAATGCTCAATTTTATCAAAGTAGCTGTGATTTTGTGCTCTGAGATATTTCTCAATTAGCTCTGTATCATCTACAGATTTGATAAGTATGCCTTCCATTGCATTTCTAGGCTATTTATCTAGATACGGAGTAGCAGGAGGCCAAGGATAGAGTCCTGGGGAATTTCATTTAATCCTTCCCACTGGGATAATACAAAACTACTCACAAACTACTTGGATGTGATTGTTCAGCCAGTTAAAGACCTAACAGACCACAGTATCATCTAGCTCAGGGGTCTCCAACCTTGGCAACTTTAAGACTTGTGGACTTCAACTCCCAGAATTCCTCAGCCAGCTTTCCTGACTGAGGAATTCTGGGAGTTGAAGTCCACAAGTCTTAAAGTTGCCAAGGTTGGAGACCCCTGATCTAGCCCACATTTATCCTTTCTGTCCACAAAAATATCATGAACATCCGTGACAAATGCTTTTCTGAGATCAAAGTATATTACATTTACATACATTGCATCCTCAGTCTTTCAAACTATTCATGTTTCATGAAAAGAGGAAAGACCAGAACAGTATTTCTCTAGATTGGCAACTTGAAGATATGTGGATTTCAACTCCCAGAGTTGAATTGAATACATCTTCAAGTTGGAATAGAAAGACAGCACACAACTAATAACCAGTTAACTCCTGGTAACGATAACATCCTTTTAAAAATGTTTATAGCCATGCTTCCTGACAATTTATTCAGCAGAGATGCTAAATAATAGGTGCATATTTTCTCAGGTGCTCCCTCTACCATTTTGGATATTGGTTGCTCTTATCCAGTCTTCCAGCACTACCAGGAATTTTCAAAGATCACAATCAGTCGGCAGGAGTTCATGTATAATACATTTTTTTCCATTTCATGCTCGCCAGGACCAACTAATTTGGCTTGAACTATCTGCAGATACAACATAAGATATTCTTATGTTAAGGAAATAATAGCCTTGCTGTTGTAAGCCAAATGTTTCAAGCTGTAAAATATTGAAGATCACACTGTGTCTTGAAGTGTCATGTTAGAGATGAAAAGTCAGTTTGATGAGACTTTTTCTACCAGTAGGGAACCATGAAAGGAAGCCAGAGAAGAGATTAGTACCCCACTTATCAATCCTTTCTGATTCCAACTCAAGGCATTTTCGTTCTACAAAATTCTCTGCCAGTGCTGCTGGAGGCAGACAGCAGTGGTTATTTTCCAGGAGAAAATGAGTGAATTACTATGTGTGTATGAACACTGCATTTTTACAAAGGTACCATTTTAACTGGGAGAAAAATGTGAGTACAGCATGCAGGGTAAAATAAAAAGAGGACAGTCAGGATGTCTTTGCTTCTTTGAAGAATTGTTATTACCTAGTAAGGCATTTCTAATTTTCTTTTCTTTTTAATTTTTATTTACTAACCTGGACTTCATAGATTATAAACAAATACCTAGGGTTGTTTGAAGCTTAAGGTGCAGAAAAAGATTAAAAAAACACAGATCAGAAATGTAGATGGTAGAATTCAAAAGAAGCACAAGTCCAGGCAGGTTGACTTATGAAAACACAAGCAAGCTTCCTTATCTCTGCTTGTGGTATATGTTTTCATGCTTCCTAAGGGAGTTTGGAAAGCATTAAGAAATGGAATATCACTGCTCTTTCTGGTTAATGTACCTTGCAAATCATACAGGAAAATGCATAAGGAATGAAGCATTGAACTTGCACAACAGGGTGACACATAGCATTAATATAAGATATATCTCAGGAATTCTTATGTCTCAGGAGCAATGATATATAAATAAGCACCCAGGATGCAAGAATACACAAAATGCCTCTTTCCATTTAAGAAAGTTGCCCTTCATCCTAAAAATATCCTTGGGGATTAGAGATGGAAGAGAATCTTGATCAATTTGCATTCGGAGATAAATGTAATAAATTTACCCTTCCTAAATCAATATGGAACTAGGATCCAATTATCCTATGATATTAACACTTTTCAGAATCTTGCAGTACAATCTCCTACATAAAAAATAATATGAAAAATGTGTATTTCAGGGGGATATGCATATGTAAAATACCTTTAAGGGAAACACCTTATATAAATTAGCAAATAATCAGACCTTGTTCCTTGCCTTGTGGATGTGCTCACTGAAAACAAGATATCCTAGGGAAGGTCATTAGAGTAACTCCTTAAGGCTGTTGGCTCTCCAGTACAATGGTTTCTTCACTGACATTGTTTGAGATCAATGAATATGGATGAATCACATGAGCTTCAGTGGAAGAAGCATCTTGCAACATTATCTAGTCTCCTTAGCAGGTACAATACAGCAGTTTCTTGTCCATTTGACTGACCTCCTTTTCCAAGCTATAGTCATGAATAGACCTTTGAAGTTACAGTGATGTTAGTAAGCCACAGGCAGGAAGATATGGCTTTAGCAGAAGAAATAGAACCCCTTCCTGCTTCTAATCATCTTCTTTGTGCAAGGGAAAGAGTTAAGCCAACTTCTAGCACAGGCTGCAGGACTGCTCATGTAAAGCTAATTGCTTAGGTCTCGGTTTGTTGTGATGGAAAAGGGAGTTAAATTCCCTTTACAGCACAACAGATGGGCTGCTTTGAACGCATTCAAGCATACCCCTGAAATTCGGAGTGGATCTTATGTCTAAAGTAGCATGCAATAACAAAGGTTGTGCATTTTGTGAATTGAAAGAGTAAATACAAACATGCAAATCTTTCCATATATGATACTTTAGATAATATACAGGGCATGTGTATCAGCATTCAAGCACAAAAATAAGCAATAGAGATAAAATACAACATGATGTAATTCACCTAAACTTTCACCATGTACTGTACCATGGTATGTGCATCCACTTCCACAGACATACATGCAAAACACTTGTCCATGGACGCATGGGTGAGAAAGTGCTGATCTGCATGCATTTTTGAAGGCATGGGAATTTAACCCAAGTTATGTCTGAGGACAAAGAATTGCACAAACATGTGTAGGAGAAGAAATTAGGATTTTATCCCTCTTGTAGATGTCAGACTTGTGGGCGAGATGAGGTGAGATTGTGATATTGTTTGTGTTAACTTCTGTATGGGGAGAAAAGGAGATTGAAAATGTCTGGCTTTGCTGGAATTTAGACAGGCTGATCTTTTCCAGAAAAACAGCCATGGGTTTGTTTTGCTCTCTTTGGTTTCAGCAACAAATTGGCTGTGGCTGTAAAGAGATAATAAACCTCTAATGGCCCACCAATACTTGACTGTTGGGAATCACCCAAGCCTTGTCTCTTTGTCTTATATGTCACCAACGCAACTCAGCCATAACTCTTAAAGTCCCAGATGCTCTGAACCTTTTCCTTGGAAGAAAGCATGTTTTTTTTCTGTCTATAGCCAAAAACAAGTTTGAGGGCATCTTTTAGGTCAATTTACTGTAATGGAAACGGGCTGTGAAAAAACATCTATAGCAGCTTTCCCCAGATGGAATAAACTACAACTATATATTCAGCTTGACCAGCTCTCAGACAAGAGTGAAACTCTGCCTTTTATGATGTGGGTCCACTGAGAATAATTGTTCCAAGTTGATCTTGTGAGCTTCCTAACTAAGTAGAGGATGAAATCGTGGCCTTTCTAGTCTTAGTGCAGCACTCCAACACAATCTCTGTGCCTTGGAGTCAACACTAATCCCTGGCAATGGCTTGGACTAGTAGTTTTTGTGACAAGATTGCAAAGTAGTTTGTCTTTGTATACTTCCTAGGGCTGAGAAAGAATGACCGGCCCAAAATCACACAGTTAGCTTTGTGACATAGTCTGCAGGTTTCCAGCCTAGTGCCTTAACTGTTGCTCCAAATGGATTCTCTATTGCCTGTCTGTAGCACAGTTCACTATATATCCTCTATATCTTGCAGATATTATTTCATCCAGATGAAGAATGAAACATTTCTTCAATATTGGATATATCACAGCACACCCATTTAACTCTGAGATCTACTATCTCCCAGGGGACTTCTGGGTGTGCTGTGATATATAACAAAAAGGAAAGCAGGACTTGCCCCCCACCCCAATATTCATGCTCTAATTTCCAGTGCCATGATAACCTGGGATATGAAGTTACACAACTCGATAGATTTATATCTGTTTCTCTTCAAATACCCTGTTAGCTATTGAGCCCATAATCTTCTTTTCTCCATTTTTTAAAAAGATATTCATACATTTTTGGTAATCATCTATTATTATCTTTTAAGCAGAACAAATCTCAGCTTCCAGCTATAAGAATTCTTCAGGTACTAATTTGACTGTAATCTTGGTTCATGTTCCCAGAATTATTATGGGAAATATTCAGCTAATAATTACATAGATTTCCCTCTTGGAGAAGCAGGGTAAAATATCTTGCTGCAGCCTCATGACTCCCTGGAACTGCCCAGTTTACTTTTCTGCATATATTTTATTTCTGCTGATCTACAAGTGAGGGTTCATCTAATTTACTTCAGCATGGTACATCCTGCTGAGAGTTCTACCAAGATCATGTTGCTGGCCACTATCAAAGTATTTCGCTAGGAAAGCATGTTATATTTCATTTAGAACTAGGCCTTTTTCTGCTACAGCCCTGCCTTGTAGAATATTCGAAGCTAAGAATAGCCCCAACGCTGTTGGCTTTTCGCAAAACTTCAAAAACTTGGCTATGTAACCAGGCCTGGGGCTTGGAATGTGTTAAGGGTCTTGTTACTTGGCTTACTCAGTATTAGTTGATTAACCATCATGGCTAATGTTTCTACTTAATTATTTTGTAGATGTTTTCATTGCTGTACAGTTTTTAAAATTGTTCAAGTGTTTTATAATTTTAGAATTGTAAACCATCCAGAGTCACTTGGTTGAACTGAGTGGCTATAGAAATTGAATAAATAAATTAGTAAATTTCAATGGTTTTACTAAATATCCATAGGTCTGTATGTATACATACAGCTAGCATTTTCCCCCAGAAGGGGAAGAGATCTCCAGCATTCTAGTACTGAAGTTGTGTGGATCAGGACACATAATAAAAACTTTTAAGAATAGCAGTTTTTAGATGCAACTTGCTTAAATAAATACCTTATGTGTGGTTCTGCATCACCAAAAATAATATCAGAGTCTCTCATTATCTTCCGCAACATGATATCTCTGAGTCGGATGCAGCATGGCATATCTGTGTAACTTTAACAAAACAACTTTCTAAACCATCAGGGACTCCATAGCACTGGGGCTTTTGAATTCAAAGGCATATTTTCTTCTTTTGACGAGCTTTTTGAAAGCAAAGACATGAACAAAAATTCAAAGATAAAAGAATGACTCACCCTACAATTGCCCAGTTCTTCAGCTGAGAGAATGATGGTGCCACACTTTTTCCCCGGAATTTCTCTATAATAAGAGACAAAATAGTTTATGAAGTGGGTAGAAAGGGGAGGAAAGAGACATCCATCTTTGCCCCCAATGCAAAAATAATGTCAAATTTATTTTTTCGATTCCATTTGCAGTGTCTCCTTTTATGAAACCCCAAAATGTCAGTAAGTTTGAACTTTCCATACCTGTAACTCCTGTTATACATTCTGCAGTGGAGTAGAAGGAAGAAGGGATAGCTTTGAGGGGCAGGCTAAACAGCCACTACCAAGCCAAAGGCCAGATAGAGGATGTGTCAATATAATATGAGTAAACAAACCCATAGTTCACATGAAGACACAGGGAGGAAAGGGGGGAAGTGTGTTCAGACTTGCTCAAATTTTGTCATTAGTGCTGACAGTACTGTGTTTTGATTAAGGCTTTGATAAAGCACGCTTTCAGTGCAGCTCCATGAAGCATAAAGGTGCCCTGTATTTGGTGCTGTGAGAAAACAAACTATGAAATCAGCTCCAGATAATCTCTGATGAATGTGTGTGTATGCAAAGAAGATATATTTGCCAAAGCAAAGCAGCCGGGCTAAGCAAGATGGCCCAGCATAGAGTTGAAGTGTTTAACTTTTCCCTGTGAAGACACTGCCTTAAAATCCAAAGCTCCATTTCCATAAAGTGATACGGGGCCACATAACTCAATTTAGGAGTGACTACTGAGTGCCTATTTAGATGAGGATAGTAGGTTTTATTTTTAGTTTAGCTTACTTTATTGTCATTGCACCTCTTACAATGAAATCAAACACTATCTTCAGTGCACATCATGACCATGAAAATAAACACAAACACACATCCTTCACCCTTCACACATTGAACCGGAAACCCCCGACACCACACCAACACTGCACTATACAGCAGAATTCAAAAGAGCTACTGCCTATCCCTATAAATAGTAATAAGTGTGTTCTTTCATGTTCTGTTTATTAATTACTACTGTATTGTTTGGATTCTCTTATAAAATGTCTCAGTAACCCTGTACTTCTTTCAGCGAACTCTGGTCGGTGGATTAAATAAACTAAGACATCCCAAAGTATTTAGCTTTTTCAAGCATTGGACCTGTTCTTAGCCCTCTTTGAAATATTGTATGCATTTCTAGAGCTTTCAATTACTCTATTATTGATGGTTAACTTTGTGTGTGTTTCTATGTGGAATTGGTTGTTGGCTTGCTGCAAGCTATCATGGACATTATTCCCACAATTGACATTGCAAAAATATCTTAAATATTACAAATTAAAATGAGTTCGTTCAAAACATTAAATATGTTCAAAGGTGGTATAAAAATTGAGAACCAAAGAAAGTTTTTTCCCCAAGTTAAAACTATATGAGGGTTTGGGACAAATTAAACCATTGCCTGAATGTACAGCAACTGAACTATTTATTTGAATGCTCATATCAAGTTGATTACTGAGAGGTATCACTCAAGATAGAACAAAGCGAAGAAAAAAAGCAGTTTACCTGAAACCCCCTTTTTTCTTTTTAAAAAAGTGTCAGTTTTATTATTTTGTCCATCTAATTCCACACAGACAGATGATGTCTTGGATAATGATGGCTCAAAATGGATTTAATCTTCAGAGCTGATGACAAGTCTATTTGTTCATGGTGCTTGGAAATTAGAAGTATGACAGTGAATAACTAATATGATCTTTCTCAGGCCAGAAATATAAATCACATAAAGCCCTAAATTATATCAAAAGGATTACCCTACTTGTGACTCCTATTATTTTCATTCACCAGTAGATGAAATAAGGATTGGGTTTAGAAAAATGATATGGTTATACAAACAGATTCAACTAATAATGAATGGAAATGTGAAAATATTCTACTTCTTATTCTATATAGCGATTGATGCCTAATAATCACAACTCCAAACACTAAACTCTCTTCATAATCAAAGTCAGAACTAAGGTGGTCAGTATAAACAATTTGCATTACTTTCATAGGCAAGGTTTGCTTTTAATTATCATCCCTCCGATAAATGGCATATGGAGTGATGGACTCAAAATCCTAGTATGTGGTAATGGCCACCAACTGTGAAGAGTTTTTCCCATGTATCAATTTGAATGTGGCCCAGCAGGTGGCAGCACATAGCCAGATTTGGTTGATCTCAAATCCACTAAGAAGAACTGGATGCAATTCATTTTTGGATGGGAGACCACTAGAATGTTTTGCGATCCCAGGCAAGATTGGGAAGTCAAAACATTCCTCGAAGGAAACAATGGCTTCTATATGAACAGAAACTATCTGGAGTTGTCCATGTAGTAACATGACCTTAAGCAAAACAAGGCAACTCTAGTATTACGTGCTGGTTGATGAAATAGTTGTCGTAAAACTTTGCTACGATTTTGGATATTATTCCTTATAGGTTGTTATTGTTTACTTTCTGTTTCCTTTCACGACCACTTTTCTTTAAAGGGCATCTTTCAATCTGGAGCTGTCCCAATCAAAGTTCCTCCGAAAGATGGGAAGAGCCTTTTTTGCTCATTCTGTTCTGACCTAGGCTTCCCAGGATCATGAAACGGACTCCTCACCCCAATAAAACCCCTTTTATTTAGGTTAAAGTGAATTCCACTTCGGCAAAGTCCTGGCAAACAGTCTTTCATGACATTTCAGACCTTTAACAGGCTTGGAGAGTTGCCAGGCTGATATCTTCTATCTGACACACTGTAGCAGCAATTACTTGGCAAGAAGTTAGGAACAGATCTTCACTCTAATGAATTGAACTAATTGTCCCCTGCAAACACCACTCCCCTTTAGTTCCTCTTTATTCCCTATGAAATAAAGGGGCCATTCACCGTTCACCTGAGCTTTTACTCCCGAGTCAACCCTAGTTCCTTAACTGTTCCTTTCTCCTGGCAGCTCTGCACATGCATACATTGGGAACAGGCTCCAGCTGTTCTTCTGCCCCACTGATCTCTGACTCTGAAGGCAGCTGAGAACTGTCAGAAGACCCTGGCCCCATCTCTGCCTCTGACGCAGAGCACTTGTCAGAGCCTTCCCCAGACTCCAGGACTGGCCCATGTTCCTCCCCAACTTCCTCACTATCCGATTCTGCCACCAGCTTGCTGGCCGCTGGCAGGCCACAAGACACTCATTCATATTACAGGGCTACCACTCACCTGCTGACTGTGGTTTTGTGTGTGTGTGTGTGTGTGTGTGTGTGTGTGTGCTAAACTTGTCTTATATTTCCATATCATAGAAAACACTGTCATACAGTTGTAGGGTTGTAGTTGGACATATTATGTATTTGAAGGGAAGCCAGTATCAATTAGCCTGTCCACACATATCAGCAGGGGTGACTTCCAGTCGGAATGGGATAACTCACCACAGCCAACTCATCATGGCCAATTCACCACAGCCAGCTCAGCACAGGACAACTTGCCATGACCAACTTGCCATGGGACAACTCATTGCATGACAATTAAACAATTCAATTTAATTATTTAAAATAGCTAAAACATTTTAATTTTCATCATTCACATTTTATTTTGTCCCTCCTTTGCCATCTTTTTTTTAAATGATTCTGATCCACTATTTCTTCAACAGTAGTGTAACTCTTGTCTGCAATGAGTTTATCGGTGACAAGTTGGCCATGGCAAGTTGCCCCATGGTGAGTTGGCCACGGCGAGTTGTTGTAGACCTCCCAGTAGCCCATACCTGGCTTTTTCCTTAGAAGAAAGATTCAAGAGATATCTATGTTTATTTACTGTATTTCAGCTTTCTATTGCAGATTTAATAAAAGAAGAGCAATTCAAGACCACAAGGAATTCTAAATCAAGCTTAGAAGATATTTTGTTAATGTTATTGTCTGGCAAAAACATTCACCTCTGAATGTTTTTTTAGACAACACATATCTAGAATTGGTCACATGCTTAACAATCCATTTATTTGGACTTCTGGTTTGGGCTTCTTCGGTGACGGTCCGAAACAATCCATTTATTTGCCAAATATATGTGATTATTCAGATGACTTTGTGAACATACATCTTTAAATACTGATGACTCAATATTCAAGATCCTTGCTCAATCAAGATCCACACTGGATATTATGTATTCTGGAAGGAGAAGAAGCTCAACAGATTTAACATTACCCGATTTGAATATTAAATGGTGAGGTGTGCCTTCCTCTCTCCCTTCTCTCATGATTTATTAATTGTGTTATGAGCACAAATGAGACAAGAGTTGTTGAGTTCTCACTAAAAACAACAAGAATGATAGAAAGAGCCAACAATAATAGGCTGAGCTTGCCAAGATCAAATCAGAGCTATTGTGGACTAGGCTCAGGATACCACTGTAGGAATTTTTATATAAAAAAATTAAGTGGATATCTCATAATTCGGTAAGAAAGGCTTCAGTTCCTCACACAGTTTATATTGATACTTTGAAGAGGTGGAATGCACCAATCCTTCTCTCTTCTCTAATCTGTAGGAGAGCTAAATATGACTTACCCATTGGAGACAGATGGCATAGGCTTCCCAGTTTTGGAATGTAATGTAAATGCTCCCATTCTGAAAAAAAAGAATAAAACAGACTTAAAATGATAATGTAGTTATGTTATTCAATATATATGGCTGCATATCCCACATAAGTCATTCTGGGGGGCGAACACAGTTAAATATGTTAATATACAAATGCAAAATGAACATGAAAAACAGTATATGAGAACAAAACAAAAAAGCAGCATTAAGTTCCACAAATACCACTTTTGCTCTTTACACTCCACAACACCTTGCATGATTTTTCCCCCCATTCTCAACTAATACATTATCATAACCCAAGGCTGGTTTGTTTTCTCATTTTGCACAGAGCACTAAAGTAATAAACAGTCAGTAATAAAATCACATATAATTCAACACTATAAATCAGAGATTGTCAGCTTCTTTTGAACCGATAGGCATTTCTGAAGAGCCTGTCATGGGTGCTCTCCTAAAATGGCAGCTGCAAAATGGTGAATTATCAAATGTGAATTACAGGTAGTCCTCAACTTACAAGCTACAACCATAACTGAGCCCCAAATTTATGTTGCTAAGTGAGACATTGGAAAGTGAGTTTTGCCCCATTTTTTTCACTTTTCTTGCCACGTTTGTTAGGTGAATTAGTTAAATCAGTAACGTGGCTGGTAAGAGAATCTGGTTTCCCCACTGATTTTGCTTGTCAGAAGGTTGCAAAAGATGACGACACGACCCTGGGACACGGCAACCATCACAAATGTAAATCAGTTGTCAAGCATCTGAATATAAATCACATGGCCGTGGGGATGCTGCAATGGTTATCAGTGTGAAAAATGGTCGTAAGTAATTTGTATAAATGCCATTGTAACTTCAAAAAGTCACTAAACGAATTGTTGTCACTTGAGGAATACCTGTACTCAGTATATATCTTATCATCTTCTTCCATCCCCCCCCCCCTCAAATACTTCCTGCCACCTTCCTTCCAAAGCATTAAGATTTGGCTATCCACCATTTTCATTTCCCAAGAATGTCTATAGGAATTTTGCAGGATCAGAGACATCTTAGAAATTTTTAAAAAATCATACTTTGATTTGTCAGGTGCGAACTTCTCTAATCAAAAGGGTAAAAAAAGTGAGTTAGTGAACCTGATGGTGTCTAATAATCCCCATTCATAAATATTCCCAGATGAAATACAAACATAAACATCTGTATTCTTTGGCAACATCTTCACTACACATTGACTTCACTGAGATTCATTGGAATAGGGAAGTAAGAAACATCTGCTTATTTGTGATGTTTCTTATTTCCAGAAACCATCCATGCCCTATCCTTGATGACCACTTAAAACTCTTCTACACCCATCTATCTTGGCTTGAAAAGTGTTTGACATTTTTACATTTAACTTCCTTATGACTCTTGAGTCTGTCAGCTGCATTGTGCCTATGTTTTCTGTTATAAAACTGATCACATTTACTGATGATTGTCATTAGCAACTTTGGATGTGGGCTTGGTTAAGGGATTCAATGCAACATTCCACTTTTAAGGACAGTCTGAGCTTGTCACTGTGTAAATTAATGCAGTGCGCGTGTGTGAAACATTTTCTCAGTCTATATGGCTCAAGAAGCCATAGACTAACTAGATTCATTTAATATCCCAGGCTAAATTTTTTGTGACATCCCAGGCTAAAACGTTTAGCTAGTTTGTGATTTTATATGCTATTGAATAAACCAATATCAAGCAGCATACATCAAAGACTCAATTCAATGCAAGTAACTGAAATTGTAAAGCGAGTGATACAGAACTGCAAAAATTGATTAAAAAAAACATTTTATAACAAATAACATGAGCCTCTGAAAGGATAAACAGAAATTCCAGTAAGATTTGAGTATGTTGCTTGAACACAAGCTGAAGTCATCAACTGCAACATAAATCCAGAAGTGAAGTTCCCTTATTGGATCAGTAACACCTCCCAGTATGGAGTTATACAATGGACGAGAAAGGAGACTCTTCTGGCCATGGTGCCCTGAGACCTGTATTTGTTCATGAGCGCTCACCCTTCCAGATTCTCCTTCTTTACAAAGATCCCCTGAGGTCACGTGCAGCACAGAGATATGATAATTGTAGAATCTGCATGCCTGCCAATGCTTAATACACAACCCTGTATTGCATGACCTTGATAAAAGGTCTCAGTTCTAGAATGTAAGTTTAGCAATGCTGGGCATTTTGCACACAGCAGGCACTTAATGTTGCCAGTCACATTATACCATTCAGCTATTCTGTATTCCCCTCTTTGACGAATTTCTTACAGAAGAAAAAGTAGATTAGATGCTGTAATGGCACTTCCATCTCCCCAACAAAATTTTGCAAGGCATGACAATTGCACCATAAAAATCCTTGCAAGCAGCACCTCTAGTCCTTACGTATACGGGGGGGAAAGAGAGTCACTGAAAATCACTACAATGGGGTCTGAATTTCCCCCTCCAGCATCTCCCCTGGGAGCAACAATGATACCTTCTAAATTTCCTTGGCATGGGGCCATAGCTACAGAGACTGTGACTAATTCCCTTCTTTCATTGATACAGTTCCCTTGACAATATTTATAGAACTTGACTGAGGTTTCTTCCTCCTCCTTCTCCTCTCCTGGAAGGTTCAACAATTGAAGACGCTTCTCTCTGGCTGCCTCTGCTCATATATTCAGTCGAATGGGAGACAACTGGGAAAAAAAGTAGTTTCTACTGTCAGTGGGAGTGTCTTCCATTTCTTTTATTCATTTCCAGGATTGGTTCAGCAAATACTATTGGACTGGAACGGATTAAACCATTGTTTTCTTCTAATGGTCAATTTAATCAATAGGTTTCCTAAGAGGCCTGTAGGGGGCGTGCATAAGCGCACTAACGTGCCTACCGTCCCTGTCCTATTGTTTCTCTTATTCTTTTATTTTTCTTATATGTACCCATTTCATGTATTCACAACTATGTATACATTTATACTTATTATCTTGTAAACAATTGGCAAATCAAATAAATAAATAAATAAATAAATTAGCTAGAAAGCAGGAAATCGTTGGATTTAGAGTAGTCTGGGTGAGAAGTTGCTGGTTACTTTTTACCGTTCTACCATCGAGAGCATTTTGGCCTACTGTGTAACGGTGTGGTTTGCTGGATGCTCTGTAGTGGATAAGAAGATGCTCCAGAGGGTTATAAACACAGCACAAAAAATCATCGGTTGCTCTCTTTCTTCTCTGGAAGAGATTGTGAAGACGAGACTCCTTTCTAGAGCACTAAAAATCTCCACAGACCATTCTCATCCTGGACATTCATATTTTGAACTGTTACCATCAGGAAGGTGTTATAGGTGTCTTAAAATGAGGACTAATAGACTGAGAAACAGTTTCTTTTCCAAGGCAATAATTGTCTTGAATCAAACAATGCATATGTGATTTAGCCCTATGTATATAGTGCCATTTTTAAACTATCTAACGTACTATATGTTTTAGATAGGTTTTAGACTAGGTTTTTAATTATTATTTTAATTATTTTAATTTTTAAATACTCTGTAGTGTGATTGTGATGTGGTATTTGGGACACTGTGCTGGAGTACTAGTAGATAGGTACTACCTGGTAGGTGGCAGTCTCTGCAGCTAGCTACTAGGAGCCTATGCCTTCGGGTTTATTATATTCATAAGCTGTGCTTTCTCCAGGAGCTCAAGACAGACATAATACTTCTCCTTCCCCAACTTTACACCTACAATAGCAACCCTTTAAGGTAGGCTAAGCTGAGATAATACCTGTCCCAAAGTCACTTAATGAACTTCCATAGCTAAGGGCAGACTTGAATTTGGATCTCCCTAGTCTCAAAGTTTTCATGCAATCTGCAAAACTATCCAGCTGTTTTATTTTTCCCTTTCCTCTTTCATTCTGCTCCTTCAATGGCATAACCTAATACTCATTGTTTCCTCCCACCCCCCTTTGCAGTTTCAAAGTTTGAGGCTATGCAGGGATGGTACCATCAAGCATCACTACTGCTTATTTTACACATCATGTCAAACAGGCCTTACCAACTGACGCCTTCTCCTTCAAATATGCTGACTTATAAGTTCCAGAATTCCCAGCCCACCAGACCAGTGGAAGTACTGAATTCCAAAACATCTGGATAACACCAAATTGGGGACATGCTCTGAATCAAAACTTTCTAAGCTTTAAGTCCACATGTTCTTCCCATCCTATTTCCAGTGGGGCAATGAGATGGAGAACAGTAGAAGCAATCCCTTCTCTATAAATGTTCTAAAGGTTTACTTAGCAAGCTATGGTTTGTTGAGACATATCATTAATTTTTGCCTAAATCTTCTCCAACTTGAACATCTTTCAAATGTGGGGACTTCAATTCCAGGACACTATTCCAATGGCAATGCTGTCTATAGAAAATTTCAGAAGCTGAAGTCCACAAATCAGAGTGCATTCAGTGTTGTTCCCGGATTCTGAGCCCAGCAATCAGGAACTCAGGTTAGATGTTATCTCAGAGACCACAATGACTGGTAGGCGGACTCTGCAAAATAAGCAGCGAGGCTTTCCCCATATAATACCATTCCCTTATTTAGCAATATGGGAGCAAATTCACCAAGGCTAGTTCCTGTTACTGAGCCCCAGAGAGGCTTATTAAGAGTGTGATAACCAGGCTGCCTGAGTAACGACAGTGGCAAACGAGCAGAGATGACAGATTGCCCTAGCTGCAGTTACTTGACAGTGAAGCGTGGCAACCTTTCTCCTACCAGCTGGAGAGCACTGACTAACAAATTGCAGAGACAAAGGACATGGCTTTGCCAGCTGCCATTTCTCTAGCAAAAACTGAAAATTTATCCAGACCTTGCCATTAACTCATAAGGCTCAAACCAATTAGTCTAGAAGGAACTGCTGAGAAAATGACTGCTCTACTGAACATCTCCCCAATTACCCACACCAGCTTTCCTCAGACAGATGCCCTCCAAGTGGGTTGAACTTCACCCACCCACCCCATAATCACCCAGCAAGACTACAGAAAGTTGCCCGACACTGGGATTA